CAAGGACGAGATGTTAAATATGCAATGTACGCCTATGCCTGTGCTTGAACAATGAAAATAATTGTTTCGTCACTTTTCATAACAAAACATAAATAATGAATGCATATTTCTTCATGATTAGCGTTTTCTTCATTCTGAGTTGAAATCCCATTTCACTCCCAACTAACACGATTGTGAAGGTCCTGAAAATAATAATACATCATCCTGAAAAAATTCTAAAAAATTCAGAGAGTTTCTGAGGTAACTCTGAGTCTTACCTGCCAGAAAAATTGCGTTCATACTTTTCAAATTATTCTCGTGAAAGTAAGGGTTATACACTTTTGTCCAAAACTCTATAGTCGAGGAGTCTTAAATTCTGTTGGTAAGATATTATAAAGATCGTAGTCCAAGGAATTCTTCTGGGAAACAGAAAACCAGTATTTTGGTAACCTAATGAAGTTTGCTTGTCTTGTATTGTAGCCATGTATTTGAGATTGTCTAGTCAACCTACTTTATTGTATATAGTTCTGTAAGAGAATGCTCGATATACAGTATGATGCAAATGTATGAAATGAATTCATTATTTCAGAAATGGGCGACATTTGAAGAAATTCGAAAAACACGTTTGTTTTAATTTTTGAAACCTCATCTCATGACATTCATATGAGAGATGTTACGTCACCGGTGTTGGAGTAATAATAATAATAATAATAATAATAGTTTATTGCTTATTAAACAAGTTTACAGCAACGAGTGTATGACAGAAAAAAAATGGATAATATGTATGTTTGTACTCTGGAAATGAATAAAAAAAAACCGTTCGAACATTAAAACCTACCAAGTTCAAGTATAAAATGAATATCAATAGTTATAGAAGAAGAAAATAATACAATTATAGTTTATTCATTCAAAATAAATGATCTTAGCTTAAGGATATTCCAAATATATTCAGAAATTATTCTAGCATCACTGATTGTTATTTTTTGTAAGGCAATGATTAATGTTTCCAAATTCCTTAGACATGGAGCTCCTTGTTTCATGACAGTGTAGATCGGACAGTCAAAAATAATATGGAGGAGAGTTTCATTTTCGTTCCTGTTGCAAACTGGACAAATTTGATCAGGGTCAATGGAGTAGGCAATTCCGTTCAGAGTGAATTTAATTTTAAAGTGATTGGCCATACGTAGTTGGGGTAATGACGTAATGGACGGTTTTTTTAAATACAAACAGTGGTCATGTGACACCTCGTTTGAAAGGTCTACTGATCGTCTATCCAATAGTCAAAATTTTGCAAAAGAAGATTGAAATTAAAATGGATTATCATTTGGTTAACTGAATCTTGCAGAGATCTTTTACTGAGAATTGAACATCGAAGGGTCGTCTAGTTGAAAAAATACATCGATAAAAAAGTTCTGAACTCTACTTTTTGGATTTTTTTCGGACGTTGTCTTGTTTTGAAATGAATTTATTCCATACATTTGCATCATACTGTATATTGACGAAAGCGGTAATATTCTGAATTGAACAAAGAGAGGGCGACAGTGTTCTCTGAGAGCACAGTTTGACAAAATTCTCCGAGCTTTTTTTTGTTGTCGAAAAATTTCTACAGATTTGGAGGAGTTGCCCCAAATGACAAAGCCATGACAATGTCAATGTAAGAAGGAAGAATATCCTCAAAATTCCACATCACTCCCGCTACATGTTCCAACGATCTTATTCTTACACGATTTGCAAATTGATTAATGACTTACCCTCTGATCTTATGGAATTGAATTTCAAGAATTTCAAGGAAAATTTGAAAAATTTACTGTTACTCAATAATATCATACCGAATTTCAATGTCAAAACTTGGTACCTTTCGATTTCTCTCTCAGAATTATATTTATGTTTCACTTATATTTCAATATTTGAGTATACTTGGTTGCAATCAGGACTGATTAGGTACCTACTGCTCGTTTGCTTCGAAATTTAAATATTTTTCAATGTCATATCCATGTTTGTATTAGTTTATAGTTAACAGTTCTTGGTGCCAACAGAACATATTAGTATTATTAGAATATACTTATTAGGTAATCATCTTATTTACGTTCTAACTGTGCACCTCTTCGAGGGTTATAGGGAAGATTGGGATCAATGTACATTTATGTACATTGAAACTAACTATAGCCCTTTTCAGTCTCAGTAATTATAGTTATTTATGTATTAAGGGAATTATGAGGGCCTTAATTACCGATGGCAAAGTTTGCGTCCCGAGGGCCTCTGGCCCGAGGGACAGCAATTGCCAGAGGTTATTAAGGCTCTATAATTCCCGTGATACATAGATAATTTTATTTCTGACTGATTTCATTCATTAGATACCTTCCCGATTGAAAGTTAGACATGTTTTTCCGTATAGTTTCAATGTCATCAGAACGTCAGATGATGATCTTGACTACCGCGAATAGGAGATTCCTTATTGCTACGTTATATTGCGTGGTTGTTGCTATGCATTTCTCATTTAATTTTAGCTAGAGGGAATTATAGCATCTATAACATCCCAAGGGAGTTATGACCCTCATTATAGATATCGTAACTATGACGATATAAGCTTATAATGTCACTGTCAGAAATAAATATATTTATTATGTTATGTTAAAAATGAAATGCATATTACTGTAGTTTATTGTTGTATATTATTGCTGAATCACTGGATGAATGACTGAATAAATAAATAAAATAAATATGTTATATGCGCATGATATAATGCAAAATACGTTATAATGAAAATCTGGCATTCCACAATAGAACAACACGGAAAATATAGAGCCATCGCTAATGGAATCTGATATTGGATGTTGATAGAGCTAATGCATTGGAATAGGGCAATATGATCCTTGTGCCAGGTACTATATACCTTATTCTGAATATACGAGCAAAGCTCTCAGCTTATCTATAATAATGCTTGGCGTCACGATATTGGCAAGTATGAAGAGGAACCACGAAATATAACCATTCCTAATTAGACAATCAAATTCAAGATTATCGAACATCAATCTAGTTTTCCAAATTCAAACATTCAGTACACCATATCATCTTCCGTTTATTTGAGTTCAGAAATATTAGTACAAATATGAAGATGCATATAGTATGCAAAACAACCAATGCGAAGGCATGATTCGAGCCAAGCCAAGCAACTCTGTGCAATATAATAAATAATATTATCAATAATCTTTTGTTTTCACTGTCTCCTCTACTCTGCTGCTATCAGATGCATATACATGACAAAGTATCAGAATGTCAGTCAATTTTTTTTTGAGATTCAAGATTCAATATTTTTTTTTCTGTGACGGGAAAAAAGTTTGGCATTTCATCTCTGTTGGCAGGTTATAAAATGTCACTTTTCATAAATTACTTTTTTTCCCGTGGGAAAAAAGTGAGTACTTTTTTCCCAGATATATATCACATATATACATATACTCTGCTAATGGCTTTTGTTGTGCTATAGTTCCGAAAATTGAGTCAATAATACCGTCTCCGAGAAAGAACTGCATATCCTTTTATCTTCCATTCGACTTCGCGGTTTCGTATATTACAAAACAACTACTGAATTCGCAATTTTTCAAAATCAAATCACAGAATTGAACTGACAGAAGTGACATCAGATATTTGATTACTTCAAAAGAATGATAAATATGTCTATAAAACGCAGGTGTCCCTACTACTAAAAACTGAAATTTCACGTCGATAATTTTCAGATTTCGAAATAATGTAATATCTTCTCGATATTGATTCGTCCTTCCTTCTGTCACAGAAAAAAATAGTGTATTATACACGGGAAAATATTAGATTTTAGCTCATGGTTTTTTGTCTCCCTCCGCTACGCGTCGGGAGACAACACAACCTGAAGCTAAAATCTACTACTTTTTTCCCTTGTATAATAAATAACTATTATCATCACAAAGAATACAGTGGTAATCATCAACACCATTTACTAAGATCTAAATTATATATAAGACTTCTGTAGGTCAAATGAACAGCTGTATGATATTTAAATGACTCACTAGAGTAGACTCACGCTGGGCATTGTAGCCTGTTTTGTGATGTCTAAATTCGCAAGGCAATTTTACAAGTGTATGTCTCATGTAATGAGAGGCATGTGCAGTATACTTACATTTTTGTAAAAATCGATAAAGAATGAAAGAAAGAAAATATTAGGATTCAAGAGAGATTGGATGTATTGAAACACTTGAAACTTGCTGTGGTAAGTATCTATTTCAGTAGAAGAATAAAAAAATTTCTGGGTAGTTCCGTACATAACTTTCCGCTTCTTCTTTGGAAACTCTAAAAGATGAAATATCTCCAAGATTTTTTGGCAAAATGTTGAATATTTTACGGCGATGAAAAAGAAAAGAATTTTGGGTGACTGTTATTGAAGAATTCGATGCTCAACTAGAGGTTCATTTTTGATAGAGCTTCTCTTGAATGTGTATTTGTGAAATCTGTACGTTTATGGAAAATTCTTATCAAACAGTGATAAGTGTGTAGTGAATGAATATTCATCATATTGGTTTCTTGATATTACTCTCTTGTTGAAAATAGTCTATTATTTTCAAATGAGGTTTAATAAAATGTTTCGGGCTATGTGTAATGACCTAATAGCAGTTTTGAAAGCTGCACCACAAGCAGGAATACAACATTTTATTATAGATTCGGCAAGAGAGGTGTATAGAAGATTTTTTTTGGATGGTATGTCACGTAGTTCAAAGAAAGTGTGCATTAATACTCTGAGCCATTTTGTAACAAAGTTGATATGCTTCGACCATTTTAGCTGCTGATCTAGTATAACTCCCAGGTATTTTATAGATGAAGTTTGTTCTACGGTCTGACAGCCACATTGTTTCTATTGTTTCATATGTAAATGTGAAAACTTCACAAACGATAAGATTTTCACGAAATTCTTAATCACACGACATGTTTCTTTCATTTTCTTTTTGGGGGCTGTTTTTTTGCCGGTAAGTGTAGAAAGTTTCTCCTTGTTGCAGGAATAATGAAAGGAAGACTGAATCTGAACTATTCGGCTAGTGAAGACAGGAACAGCGTTCACAGAGCCCTCCATATCATCCAACCTGGCACAGATTTGTCAGGAAATTACACTTGTATGGTTTCCACCTTCCGAGGGGAGGATGTGAAAACCAAGAGGATGCTTGTACTAGGTGAGAAAGTTATACCATTTTGACTGTGAAAGAAAATCTCCAGCGGTTTTTTTGTCTGTCTGTCATATGAAGCCAGGATTGGCTTAGTGTAAGAGCGCCCGTCTCACGACCACAAGGTCGTGGGTTCGATTCCCAGCATGAGCAAGGAACTTTTTCTTATATTTTATTCACGAATTAAATATTGCTAATAGTCCTGCACCATTCGCTGTTGCGTTCCAATTAACAGTGCTACTTCTACAGTGGCGCATGGGGTTAGTAACAAAGCCTACACAGAACACGCAGAAAGGGATGATGATGTGATTGTGAGCATCAGAGAAGAAGTAGGACGGTGTATGTAGGTGGGTGTAGAAAACTACCAGCTGAGCGTGAGAGCGGGCCAGCTGCTTAGTGGACCTCGGTCTCTAACGGGGGTTAACGAGGATAGCTAGCAGGCCTGCCACTGCGCATATGGTCGTGAGTACATTACTTGCCTACAAATCACAGCCAAAAAACTCTGAAAGAGAGCTGATGGGTGGTGCCTGAGAAGAATGTTAGCCAGCTCCCTTGAGCGAACCACATCAGTCATTGAAAACACTTGGGGTTTGCAAAATGGTCCCATTAGGGACTAGTTCCTGACGTGCAATAACGTTCTCCACCAGTACCAGTACCCGTTCTGTTTGTCATGCCGGTGTCAGAATTTTTTCATATTTTTCACTCATTAAATAAATTTCACTCTTTGTCCGGTATGGAAAATTTGAATAAACTAATACACTCAGTTTTCACCTACACTAAATTTTAATTTTTCGAATGTGTACTTCAGATTTCGCATTCAATGCCAGTTGAGAGTTAGAAAAAGAAAAAAAATCAGCTACGAAATATAACATTAGTGAAGTGATGTCCGTTCTGGTCTTGGAGACGCCATAATAATGAGAAATTCTCGAATATATTGGGATATTGTGTCATTTAGGGCTTCGAGTATACGTGGATCATTTATGTACACTCATCTTCAGAGATCATGTCGCACATGGACGGTGTCAGCTCCCTTGGTCACCGCTGCAATAAGAAGAGGGCTCATATACCTTCCAACCGCGACATCATCGCTGAGGACGAGTGTACATTCGGGCTTTGAGATAGCCCCATAAAAAGTAATCACAATGTGATTGGTCCGGTGATGGTGGGGGCCCTTCTACATCTCCTCGCAATCAAATCAGACGTCCAGGAAATATATTCCTTGATAAATCTAAAATGGCAACTTGACTACTTGGTTCGAGAACATAAGGTTCATATCCACCATACTAGGTGCCTGTTTCAAATCTTTCATACCTCCTTGCCAGACCCTGTATCTGAACGGTGAGTGAATCATGTACTGTTCACTTTGGCTTAGCAACCAGTAGATCCCAGGCAACCAGATGACGTTCCAGTGACGTCTTTTACGTCACTTGAATGACCAAGGTGACGTCAGTAGTTGACGTCGCATTGACGTGATAATGACGAGAATAAGTCAAAACCCAATGACGTCATATTACTCAAGTCGTATTGACGTCATTCACTCACCAAACTGTGACGTCCATCTGACGTCATAATGACGTCAAAATGACGATTGAATTTGGCGATGATGCGTGGAAAAGATTTCTTCAACATAGTGTGATAAACACGACTAACCTCTGATGACATTATATAATATTGATTATGCATTGTTGAGTCTGCTTGGTGGGTCTCTTCTGTGTCATGTTCATTCAATCGCCTATTCAGCAGCGCCATCCTTCAGTACGCATCTCCATCAGAATGCAATCAGTTATTGTAGTTGTATCAAAAATTATGTAGTTTGTGTCAGCGAGATGTAAGCAAACAAAGAATAGTTTGATAGCAATGGAAAGGATGTTGATAATAATGTATATTGATGCATTATTTGACACCCAACAAAAATCTGAATAGCAAATTGTTGAAAAATTTCCTAAATGACGAAGCTCACCAAATTGGTACGTCACACCGACGTGATTTTTAGACGTCATAGACACGTCACTGCAACGTCATAAGAGTAACGGTTTCAATATAGGTATACCTAAACAATCATTTTTTTATATACATAGCTTGTTGGTTTCCGAGATATACAGTGTGTCAAAGTTTTTTAGAAAAAAGTGTTTCTACTACTTTTCGGGTACCTATATCAATAATAAGAATAAAACTTGCATGTTGATTTGCTTTCATGAGATATACTTCTGTTTCACATGATGATATATAAGTATCTATGGTTTAGAGAAGGTCTGGGAAAAATAGACGTCGACAGGACGTCTCTGCAATGTCATGAAACTGACGTATTTTTTTACACATCTAAGTGACGTTCACTCGAGGTCGAAACGATGACGTGATTATCACGTCATAGAAAGTACGTCATAGTGACGTCATAAATTGGTGTGTGACGTCTCTGACGAAAAATCACCAATTAGGGACGTCACAGTGACGTGATCATTTGTCATCTGGTTGCCTGGTTTCAACTCAATTTTATGATCATAGGAAAGAAGGAGAGCTCAAAGTCATCTCCACACTTGCTCATTCAAGAGTACATGTTTTGGACTTAGATATAATATAAATATAATATAATAATCTGAAATAATAATAATAGGTATTTATACACCACGGGACCTTATAACCCTTGGCTGAAGCCTCGGTATATAGTCTTGGTCCCTGGGTAATACTACTCTTTATATTGTATTTTTTTCACCACTATATAGCAATAAATCTCTTCTGTTCAACCGAAATATGGACCTATTGTCACTATTAGAGCATCTATTTTCAATTATCTGAGGTAGCTATGTCTTCATCGACTTGTTGTTCATAAAATCACGAAAACTACCTTTACTACTACTCTTTACGCCTCGAAAAGGAGTAAATGATGGTATGTTTTATAGCTAGCGGTGGAAAAAAGAATATATCACCAATGAGCTTTCATCAGTTATTGAGTTACTTTCGAAAAGGCCATTGTAATTGAGTCTTGAATCGTGAAGCTTTATTTTGTATAACAAACATGAGCACGGAACTGTAGAATTGGAAAGTACAGAAATATTTCTGATTTCCAGTCATTCAAGATGATATTTCGTATTTGAAATGTTCTGAAGTATTGGAGATTAATAAAAAATTCCTGATGGAATATGTCATTCCCAAATCATATCTTTCAGCCCCAAAGTTCAGATATGATGAGTGACAGGATATCCTGCCGAAGGATGAATAATTGAATTGCCAATTTAACCCGAATATTGATGAAACCGAGACTTTCTTCGATTATATGTTTATTTCTGTCAACTTCGTTCATCTGTTTCTTGAAGTTGAGTGATTAATTCCAAGAATTTGACGAACTCGTGAAGAGAAGTTCTTCTGCCAAAATTCGAATACATAAAAGTTACAAAATTAATGAGATTACAAAAATAGAGGTTATCACTGGGAGAACATTGTGTTAGCAATAAATAATTTCACTTCAATCTTAAAAAATTATGCTTCCGAATAATGTCATTTGACAACAAACAAATGATTTGTTCAAAAATTCAAAATGAATTAATAGTTTAATACTATACTTTGAACATTATAGGGATTCCTTTTCGTGCGCTCCAAGCGATAAAAAAAAATTCGACACAACAAGCAAACATATTAGTTCTGTATTGACTAATATTTCTTGATAATAGACTGTTTTGAAGTTGATTATTGAAATATAGTAGTTATTTTAATGATGAAATTATATATAACTTATGCATTTATTCCTCAGAAATATCAATAACCCGCGCTGGGAAATCAAGGCCGATGGTGGAAATGCAAAATTACCATGATTTAATAATCAACAAATCATTTAAATATCGAACAGGAATATTGATAACAAAGAAATCAGTTGGTAACAAATCGTTTGTTAATTGTTGAGGACTGCTGTGGGAAGGCTTGGGTATCTAATGATATTTCATGACATCAAATGAATAACGTTAATATTGAACTAACGAGGCCTGAATAAATCGATTTATTAACACCAAAAAATGGTTTCACCTCATTGTATAGGCATGAAATTGATGTTCAACGTGAATAGTAATGGAAATATACAGCGTGTCCCGTGACTCGATGACCATAGCTCAAGGGCATATTACTTGAAAAATTTCGAATCAAAAGTGTCTTATACACCTTTTTCGCAAACTCAACAGTTAATGAGTTGTGCAATCGAATAACAACTTTGCTAACTAGTATACAGGGTTATGATAAAGTAATGCACAAAATTCATAAAACGTACAACGATCACTTTTGAAAAAAATGCAATAACACGTCAAACTGTTTTTTCTACTCCGCATCTTTTGACATGAGTTACAAACATAACACGTCAAAGTTGTCAAAGTTATGACGTCATCAACATTTTTTTTTCATGGGAAGCTGAGATTTTTATTACATCATGTGAGCCCTACTGCAACTTTTTCTCCCTTGTGTAAAAACAGAAGCTCTATCACATAATGTAATGAATGAATGGGAAGCTAAGATTTCCCATTAAAAAAATTTGTTGATGACGTCATAACTTTCACAACTCTGACGTGTTATTTTTGTAACTTATGTCAAAAAATGCGGAATAAAAAAACAATTTGACGTGTTTTCGCATTTTTTTCAAAAGTGATCGTTGTACGTTTCATGAATTTTGTGCAATACTTTATCATGACCCTGTATATTGCAAGAGATGGTCCAGTCCTTTGGCTACCGAGATCATCTGAGCCGCTTTCCAATTGAAAATGTGTTACCCCTGAAATTAACCGGTATACTAACTTACACTTGAACTGAATCAGGATGTTGTAATTGGAACATAATTTCCATTCGAGTATTTTCAGTGACATTTTATTGACGGATTTGGCTCGAAACTTGAATTTTAATTGTTGATTGTAATATATTTATGATGGAAAAACTCGTAGATTATATGATTTTGGTAATGATGCTGAAGCAAATTGAAACACTATAGAATACGTAGTGAAAATTCGGCTAGATGATGAGGCTGGAGAAGATGTTACGATAAAAACAAAAAGAATTCCAATCAAAAATGTCATAAATGATACTGTGTTGTTGTGCTCTAAGGTACTTCTTCTGGTCCAAATACATTCTATGCACTCTGTTTCCGAGATCATCTAGGTATTTCCAAGAGGTTCATTCCACCCACAAATTTTGGGATGAAATTCCTCGTTAATTAGAAAAATTAGAAAAAAATCTGATATCATGAGAATATTCCCTAGACTGTATCATATTAATATGCTGATATGTGCACTTTCAAAAACACCTTGTATAGTATAACAGTGCAATATTCATACACCTATGGCACATACCGCAGCCTATGGAGCATAGAATTCTGTATAAAGGAGAATAAATACACATGGAGTGTTCAATCGGGCGGCTGACCAATCAGGTTCCGGTTACTATCTCTCACTACTGTGACGTCTGTGGGCATGCCATGGCTTCTCTTTGTGTTTTTTCTCCAAATGACATTGAAAGTGAATTTTTAATGACACTTAACAGGCAGAAAAGGTGTACCTCAACCTACCTACGCAGAAAAAGTTTGTTGCTATGTATGCAACGTTCCGAGTGGTTTGAATCAAATTGGTAATCAAAATTGACAGTGACTCTGGGTGAACAAAGAATTATGGATTATTTGGACTTGAAATTGAAAGGAATTTGGAGGAAAAATTATTTGTTTCACATGGCAGAAAAGAAGATGTAATGCCTTGGCTGGTTTCCTAGCCTCGGCTTTGCCTAGGCTTTGAATCGCCAGCCGCGGCATTAAATCTTGTACTTTTCTATCTAGTAACACAAATGAATATAATATTCTGTGATGATTCATGCCAATTTTCAATCTTCCATCACAACACAATATTGCTGCTATTAGAGTCCTGAAACCTTAATCCTCGCTCTTATCACTCCGTGACGAACCTGATAAATGAAATAAATAGCATTTGGATACGATTCTGAATATTCTCAGAATATATCAAACTTGAATGTTCATCGAATATTCGCTGCAGGATGAGAATATTCCATGAACATTCTGAGAAAATTCTATAGAAATATTCTGAAATAAGTATATTTGAACATTGTCAGAATATTAATAGAATATTCTGTGCTGTCTGGGTATTGATGAATTCAAAATCGATCGAACTATTCTCTCAATACGCCGCTGACCATATAATACAAAGTATATCCCAATTCTATCAATCAATGCTTGCTCATCTAACTCCTCTTGGTGTTCTTTCTCGTTTTGGACAAGTATTCGCAATATATTGATATCGCAAACCATCAAACGAAATATCAAGGATAATCAGAAAGGTAAATATTTGAATATATTCGGCGGCTTGCTGAACAAAATTCATTCGATATTTGTTATCAAAACTACTGAGAATATTAATAGGTACAGGGTATCCCACATAACTTGGGCCACCCCCTTATCTGGTGAACTATTATATATACAGAAAAAAGTTGTGAATAAAAATTGAATAACTTCTCATGAAATTCAATTTTTAGATACTGTCATTTATACAGGATGATCCATATGTCTGTGACATATCACAACTACGTTTTTTCAAATGGAACACCCTATATTTTATCATATTTTTAGATAGTCCTTCAGAAGACGAGTTCAATGATATATTATAACATGGGTCCGAGATCACCCGTTTCGGATTTATACACGATCTTCTTCAATGAATTGTCTAATTTCAAAGCCCTATAGAAACGTTGTGAATGAAGTTTTCGATTCGCAACTTTTGCTATAAATTGAAAAAGTCTGTATATCATCATGTTCTGTGGTGAAAATTTAGGAATTTTGAATTTGCCAAAAGTGATGACGTATTTTGAAAACCAATAATTTTCTCGAGATTTTCAAATGGAACACCCTATATTTTATTCCATATTTGCATAGAACTCAGAAAAACGAGTTCAATGATCTATAATAACATGAGTCTGAGATCACCCGTTTCGGACTTATACACGATCTTCGGTCAAAACTACATTTCCTCTAGTTCTCTTATTCGGTTTGAGAATACCTTTTGTTCGGATATCGTTCTCTATTCTCTGAAATATTTTTTTGTTTGGTACGACACTTTGTGGAAAACGGTCACGATATTCTCTCAAAGCCAGCACAGTATTTCTGTTTTATAATAAATAGCACTCATAAAGATCAAATCTCTCTTCTTTAGAATAAATATGCATTTTGAAAGAGTTTCTCTGCACCAATTCAACAATAAATAGACATAAACAAAAATCCCATCTATGAGTGCACAGCCTACTCAGCTCACGTTGGCATGTCATTCCACTTTGAGTTTTGGTTTTCTCTTCGATAATTCACTTATGTCCAGTGTTTATTCATTATGAGAATTCAATGAGAAATGTTGAACAGTATGAAAGATATACGATTTTTATGAGGATAGAGGAAATGACATTTATTGCAATGAATGCATCCGAATTGATAAGGCAGACAATCAGAAAACATTTTCAAATACATTTTATTAATTGGGGCCAGGTAGCCGTGCGGACAGAGTGTCTATATTCTAATCCGAATTCGCTTGCCGGTCGTGGGTTCGAGTCCCGTCGACTGCAGAAATTTTTCTGATGGCCCAAGAAAGTGTTTGGGATCACACGTTAAAAGGTACGGTCCCCGTCATTCCTTGCTCGCACAAGTTTCTCGAAGACTTCTGAGGGTTGCTCGTAAGGGGGCAACCGAATGACGGATAGAACAATTCTAGAACAACAACAATTTTTAGAATATTCCCGCATTGGTCTCGTATTGAGTCAAATGTTGGTGAAATTTAATTGTGATAACCTGTGCTCAATCATTTCCAAAAGGTTTTCCAGTGAAATAATAGTATAACATTACATACAAATTTCGATAATATTCCTTGTTTTCAAAAGTCTTCATTACGAACTGTTTCACAGAAATTACAAATTTTTTATCTAATATGAAAATAACAGTCAGAATTTTGCCATTGAAATTTGATTATTTTTTCAAGAAGATCGTGTATGAGTCCGAAACGGGTGATCTCAGACCCATATTTTAATATATCATTGAACTCGTCATTCTGAGCTTCATCCAAAGATAGAATGAAATAGGGTGGTGTTCCATTCGAAAATTTGTAAAAAATTATCGTTTTTCAAAATACATCATCACTTTTTGCCAATGTGAAATTCATAAACTTTTACCATGGATCAAGAAAACATACAAAATTTGTTAATTTATAGCGGGAACTGCGAATCGGAAACTTCATTCACAACGTTTCTATAGGGCTTTGAAATTGGGCAATTTATTGAAGAAGATCGTGTATAAGTCCGAAACGGGTGATATCAGACACATGTTATGATATACCATTGAACTCGTCTTCCTGAGCTCTATGCAAATTTGGAATGGAATATAGGGTGTTCCATTTGAAAATCTCGAGATATTTATTGGTTTTCAAAATACGTCATCACTTTTGGCAAATTGAAAATTCCTAAATTTTCACCATAGAATAAAATAATATACAGACTTTGTTAATTTATAGCGGAAACTGCGAATCGAAAACTTCAATCGCAACGTTTCTATAGGGCTTTGAAATTAGACAATTTATTGAAGAAGATCGTGTATAAATCCGAAACGGGTAATCTCAGACCCATGTTATTATATATCATTGAATTCGTCTTCTGAAGGACTATCTAAATATATGATAAAATATAGGGTGTTCCATTTGAAAAAACGTATTTGTGATATGTCACAGACATATGGACCATCCTGTATAAATGAAAGTATCTAAAAAATAAATTTCATAAGAAGTAATACAACTTTCATCCTGAACTTTTTTCTGTATATATAATAGTTTACCAGATAAGCGGGTGGCCCATGTTATGTGGGATACCCTGTACCTATTACTCTAATGTATGTGATAATATAAAGCGTGAATTATCACCTATCAAGTAATAAATGAACCAATATCATTCCAGGAAAAGTCCCAATCGATTCTAGTTCGTGAATTATCACAGCAAGTTTAGATAAAAATATTGCTATTTTTATTTTGCAAATATTATTGATTGTTTCATATTCGGTATACTTACTAAATCATCATATTGATAATCTGCTGTTGCATTTGTGATTCAGATCTGTTATATCACTGCTACAAATTTAAATTCATCATTTAACTCCATTATTGCGAACGAAGGTCAAGCAGGATGGTATAATACACTATTTCAGTTCGTTGAATTGGATAATCATCTATTTATAGAATGAATAATGATTGAGCTTGATGACAAACTAATTTGGTTGATCGATTACTATCGAGAATATCAGTGAGGATAAAAAATTCCTCGAAAAACTCAATTATGAATCACTGATGACGCACTCCCAAAAACAGATTTCAACTACAATTTGAATGAAATAATCAAAAATATCGCCTGATCCACTATGCATGATGTATAGTGTTACGTAACAACTCTTACGAAATATAAGTGATAATAAATTCATTCATTTGAGTTGATGAGATTCATATAATATAAATAATATAATATCACAAGTATATGGGTAACTTTATTCAATAATAAAATATAAAAATATGTAAACTAAATTATAAATCATTCATCAATAAATATTTGGTTTCGGAAGAATCTTGATAACAAAAAGTTTGAGATTAGAAAAAAATCAGTCGTTATGAGTTAATTATAGAAATGGAAAAAGGTTTAGCTGGCCTGTTTGAGAGCGAATACGATACCACTTTTGGAAGAAAGATTTTTTTGGTCTGATTCAGGTATAATTTTTGGCATAAGCAAAAACATTAGAATGCTTGCGATATGGAAGCACCAGAACATCTGATTGAATAAAATCACACTTGACCAAAATTCGAGGAGGACGAAGGGAAATGTTAGGTAAGCTAACACAAGATGTGTGACAGCAAAAGTGAAAATGTCATAAAAGAGTTTAGCTTCTCTACTGACCATGAATATGTTCCGCACATGTCGTCTCACAATTCTGGAAGAAAAAGTGAAAAGAGCTCCACTGAGGAAGGTCAGGTAGTAACCAGGATAGAAACCATGCCAAACAGCAGACAGTCCATAAGTCAGCAAAGTGCGATGCTTTTCAGTTCTTTCATAAACAATCATTCTCAACCACACATTCGTTCCTTTATTCCAAGCTTCTATACTTTGTTTCAGACTTGTCGCAAATTCAAATTGCAATATATCCACATTCGAGATTTTGTCCCATTTTTCTGAACCATCCTCAGCATACCCAGAGAACCCTATCCCACTATTGTTACAAATGGCGTCTGCCATAGTCCACGCAAAATAATATTTAAATCTCACTAAGGTCGTACAAACTGTCAGGTACCAGAACTTGTCTAATAAGCTAGTGCTGTACAAGAAGCTTTCGTCCTGGACTCTGCTTATAGGAAATCTTGGCAAAAACTTCACGAAAATAAAAGCACAAGCTAGAGCGACAACTACCTTCCTGCACACTATTTTAACTGGATTAGGTTCTCTTATAACCACTGAAGAATTCTTCAAATTGCCCTGGACCTTCGTGTAATTGCTGCCTTCTATGAATTCGATGTAGTCATTGTAGAATATCACAGGACCCGCCATCAGAGATGGAAACAACAGAGTATAGCCGAAATACTCGATGAAGCTAGGCGTTTTGTACACAGCGTGGTATCTTTGATTCACAGTCATTTCTTCCTTCTTCTTGGTCATCCCGTCATGCAAACTGAACGCCAAAGAAGACACCTTCTGTGTGATGACCATGAGAGGTCCGCTTATGTCCAGAGCGTACGATCCATAGTCAAAAATCTGTCTGTGAAGGTGCAGACAAGATATGTATACCAAAGCCACAGTCAGCACCATACCTTGCATCACATGAGGACTCTGAGTTCTGATGACCGCGTAGCAAACTGTTGGCAGTCCAGCCAAGTGGATTGCTTGGGATCCGAAGCAAAAATACCCAATCAGCAGGCCGCATACCAGCCCATACAAGTGCCTGATCGCCGCGACTGTTCTTGAAGGATGAAAGACTGTCCGGAATAACGTTGCTAGAGCCAAAGCAACCAGCTGACACAGCACGAAGTTGAACTGATGGGTTGCCAGGCCTGTATACTCTGCCCATCCCGCGAAAATCTTGCTTCCACCGTAGGATTCACTGTCCACACTCATGTTTGTTATTATTGACTAGACATTTAAGTGGTGCTGTCACTGTGACACTAACAACACAGCGGTGTACTGTGCACTTACTACGAGACTTATTTTTTCGATCAGTCTTGCATTCGATAATAGTAGGCTCGGCGTAGCCCATCCGGCTTTCTCCGTTGAACATCTGAATAATTGAGTGAGCAACAGGCAGTCAGGCATCGACGATCCCAGAATAATGACGTCAGTGACTCCCCCTCTCGTCGGCCTTGGAAATAGCGGTTCAATTCGACCCGCCCATGAGATGGTGTGATGTTTTGAAATACTGAACTGGCTGGATGTTTAACGTAAACGTAAACAGTAAACACACTAGAGTCTCGAGATCATACCCGTGTGTTCACCGAACACGCTCGATCGTTACCTAAGCGGTGGGGAGACCGAGACGTAAGCAGGCAGTCATGATACAATGAGTGGGCAGGCAGCTTCTCTCATGCTGTCTTTTTTTTGTAGTACGGGGTGGGCCACCAACAGTTTTCATGATCACATTTCAACATTTTTTTTTTCGAATAAATAAGTAACATTTGATAGGCATCAAGTGATCTACTGCGACCTATCAGATAATGAAAGCGATGATTTGAGTAAATGTAAATAGCGAACCACTCATCGAAAATCATGAAACTATTTTATTACATTTTTCGATTCTTCTAATTGAGCTATGATTTCGTTGATCAAGCTCAAGGTATACCTATACGTAGAATGTGAAAAATCGAGATTTTTTTGTATCGAAACTATACAATACCTATATTGATTTGTCAAAATGGCTTACATGTGTCCCTATCCTAACATTCTATTTACTATCTACTGATGCCATTTAATTGAAACAAATACAGGGTGGATCAGATATAAAAGAAGTACTGTATGCCTACTAAAAAAATATATATATTTGAAATAAACAAAACAAATATATCACATAAAAAAACACACTCTAATATTCAACATAAAATAAAATTCAATCCCACTGGATGTATTTGAAAATATAAACAGTGTGCATGTCACTTCTATATATAATGGAATATCAACCCGTATATCTAACGTAACTGTTCAATTTTAAGGAGCGATAGATATATATATACCAACTATGACCAAAGTGAGGTAATCTTCAGTGAAAAACACTGCTCTGGTCATGGACCTACCAACATTTCCGGAAAATGATATTAGAGAAGGCAAGATAGGTTGAAAATCACTTCGGATTCGAAATCAGGACGTAACCCTGTACCTCGAAAACGAAGCAAGTTTAGGACACATGTTTATATGACCTTTATTCATCATATTATATATATCACAAGGAATGATCCCTTGAATTATTTCGGCGTTATTTAGATACACCCTGTATAGATCATTCTTCATCCCAATATAGTTATTCAACATTTTTCCCATAGCGAAGTTTAGCAAATATCGATGGCGAGAGCACTATGTTTATTGATTTGATGTCTACCTATAATAATATAATATGTAAAACAAGAAGGCACAACTACTAGTGTTCCGTTTCGAAGTACATTAAATTGTCAAATTTGACTCCAAAATAATTCAGGCACGCGCCAATATTCATAACGTAGTTTATACTGCTGCCCGTTTACGTTTCCCCACCGCTTAGGGAACGATCGGGCGTGTTCGGTGAACACACGGGTATGATCTCGAGACTCTTGTGTAAACACAATATTATGAACTCCGAGACCTCGTGGTATCATGGTAGTGACATAATATTGTTGGGAAGTGTCGCGAATGCGTTTAGGCCAGTGTTGCCAGCTTGCTAGTTTCATCAGTTTGTCTAGGGGGGGGGGTAGTATGAGGGCTAATATTATTTATTGTCCAACTGATCGCGCTACTGAGACATGAGGTCAAAGTTGGTAGAACTGATGAATTTTCTCCTTGTTTTTGTGTCATTCATTGGCCTCTTCCTACGATATCTTCCTCTCTGTCAATGTAAGAATAGGTGGTAAAGTTTTACATTTCAAGTAAAAAAACGTATGTCTGATGCTCAAGTCCTTCGATAACCTGAGGATTTTTATTTGTTCAAATATTCTACATAATTTATTCCTGATATTTTTGAAAAAACTCGCCACAGCTTCTTGGGCTATCTATTCGGCAAAATTTTGGGATATTTGACTTTGACATTGACCTCACGATTTTGTAACGCTAACTGGTGAAACTGAAAATGTTAGTTGTGATAGTTTTCAACTCATTACTATCATTTCATTATAATCATGTTTATGTTCACATTTATTGAAATGCTGAGTATCGCTAGGTCTCTATTCTACTCAATATCACATCAAGACATTTTAACTTTTTTTTCGAATTCGGAAACATCTAGATTTATGCATGTGGAATGATATTACTTTTAGGTTAATTATCATTGAGCCTATATCATTGTGCTATACACTAATTCGATATTTCATCTGTTTAAGAAATAAATGAGATGGAAAATATGGCGATATACACTACGCTACTATGGTTTACCAAATTCGAACTCCAAGTAACTACCTTGATCGATCTGGAACAGTTTTACATCAAGTTGAATTTCGTTTCTCAATGCTAGGTTTTCTCAAAATATCAATTTGACCCCTAATTTCTTACGTATTTTCGACAAACACCCTGTTTCTCAGAGTGGATGCATTTTTGAACCTATATTGATAGTTTCTTCTTTTTTAGAAATACGGTGAGGAATCCGTATATATCCATATATGAAGTTTGTCGATTCTATTTTAACTCACTCGTAAAGTACTGACAACAATGTGTTAGGTGTACTTTAACTGCATTTACTTCATGATTGAATAATGAGTCTATTTTTGGTTTTGATATACAGCCTATACAGGGTGTTTCGAAATTCGACCGACAACGCTTGACAGGTGATAGCCCTCGTGATTTCATAATCACTGAGATAGGGACAGACGGTCTTGAAGTGTTCAGTTCTCGAGATACAGGGCGTTGAAGTTAAGAAATTTAAATAGTTTTTTCGCAATATCTCAAGAATAATTTAATATAATGCATTCAAATTCGGTATATGGTTTCATCTTTCACTGATTAATTTCTTGACCAGAAAGACATTCCGAGAATTTTATCCAGAGATGCGCTACAGAGGGTTGTGATAACTTTTCCTCCCATATTTTCTACGCCACTGATGAAATTTCAATTATTTCCAATTTCTCGAATTGTTTGTTCAGTTATGTTGAAAAAATGCATCACCTTCAACTGAGCTAAAATGAACAGTTATCGGGATATTTGACCCAAAATAGAAGTATGCATAGTAATTTTTCATCTTCCTCGGTAGTAAAAAATTACGAAAATTTTTGTTTTCTCTTCATGTGTGGAATAACTATTTCTGTTCAGCTATGGAATGAGATCTGAATAGTATCTAATCTACTCAACACCAGAAAAATATTTTTGCAATTTTCTACTACTGAAAATGATGAAATATTACTATGCAATCTTCTATTTTGGGTCGAATATCTCGAGAACTGTTTATTTCAGCTCAGTTGAAGGTGATGCATTTTCTGAACAAAATTGAACAATGAATTCGAGGAATTGGAAATAATCGAAATTCAATCAGTGGCGTAGAAAATATGGAAGGAAAAAATGCCACAACCCCCTGTAGGGCACCACTGGACAAAATGTCCGGAATGGCTTCCAGGTCAAAAAATGGCCCATTCAAAGATGAAACCATATACCGAAGTTGAATGCATTATATTCAATTATTCTTGAGATATTGCGAAACAACTATTTTCATTTCTCAACTTCAACGCCCTGTATCTCGAGAACTGAACACTTGAAGACCGAATGTTCCTATCTCAATGATCATGAAATCACGAGGGCTATCACCTGTCAAACGTTGTCGGTCGAATTTCGAAACACCCTGTATAATCACTAACAATAATCAATCATCATTGGTAATGGACACATATTATCGTGAAACAGAATAATAGTGGTCGATGAATAATTTGTACGATTGGAATTTCTCGTGTCATTATGTGAAAAAATATAGTCACCATCAGAGTACATGTATCCAGCGAGCAGAAGAACATCTCAGAGATGTAAAAAGTACGAGATTTAGAGACATTGAATTTCCACTGCAATGTTCTGTCACGTTCTGTTCACACAATAGCACAGTTCCATCTTTAATTTGAAAAAAAGGTTGAAATGTCCTGAAATGTAGGTTCTAAAATGTTCTGACATTTTGCGTATTAATATAAGGTGGTGAACTTGTATATTCATCAAGTAAGAAGATCATTCCATGAAATCATGTGTAAATAAATAGGTAGGTAACTATTTTGGTTTATATGATGCATTAGTATGGAATGAGAGGGTCACTTGAAAACGAAATTGGTTTATCTTTTTTTGTCTGATGTGATTTGTTCACATCTTTGAGCTGAAAATATTGGGATTCAGAGTCTCTGGAGCCTCCATGATATACGAAGAAATACACTGGTCTCATTCAAATTTGATAAAGTCTCCTCGAGAAAAAAGTATACATTCTATCAAAATTGAGTGACACCCAATAGTCGATTCTTCCTAAATATAACCAGAGAATAATTCTTGAACTTGGATAGAGGGATATTCAGTAGACAGCAGCAATAATATTATTCTTCCATCCACTGACGGAGGAAAGTCCACGAAATATAAATTTGTGTTATGTGTTATGTTACACTTCCACCATAAAAATTACTATCATAAAATGGATTTGAAGCAGATTGTTGTTGTTGTAAAATTGTTCTATCTGTCATTCGATTGCCCCCTTACGAGCAACCCTCAGAAGTCTTCGAGAGTCTTGTGCGAGCAAGGAATGACGGGGGCCTTACCTTTTAACGTGTGATCCCAAACACTTCTGGGCCATCAGAAAAATGTCTGCAGCTGATGGAAATCGAACCCACGACCGGCAAGCGAATGCGGATTAGAATATAGACAATCTGTCCTGGCTACCTGGCCCAAATAACCAAATACTATCAATTTCACCAGAAGGAACAATTATTATTTTGAACATACTGGATTTTTTGGTCTCTTGGATCGCACTAAAGGAAATTCCTATAATGCTAGAAGAACCAAGTCGTTGCGAACACATATTACATTCATATAAACTTTTTATTTTGGAATTATATAAATAGTAGTTTGAAAAACTAAAGAAACCCCAGTTTATAGATAGCCA